CTCACTCACTGACTCTCTCTCTCACTCTGAGACTACACTATCTACTGCGATTTTCCCAGTTTGGGTGGTAAGTGTGCAATGTACTGTTTTGCTATGTATGTCTTTGCTACATAGGTTCCAGTTGATAATTGAGTGTGCAATACAATTAAGCGGAGAGCAGATTACTCATCAGGAGCATCTTTCTGCTAGGTGGCTGGGACATTAGGTTTTTAGCTGTGTCTGTTATAGATCTGCCTACATTTGTGCAATAAATGTTTGCGTAAGGCAGTCACGTGCATTTTTTATAACCGGGAAATATAAGTCCCACAGTCTTGTCGACTGTACCATTCTAGTCTCTTCCTAAAAAAAAATTGAGGATAATTTTAACTCTGAGTGTGATCTTTGCTGTCAGTGTAGATAGGTTATCAAGTTTGATTTTCTCTCTTTGTTACATTGCGTGTAAACTGATTTCATGCAGAGAAAGAAAGAAAAATAATCCTGACGTTCTGCTAATAAACTTGAGTTCACTTTATATCGAGTATCGCAATTAAAATATCTGGTTTGAAACAGTCTATTGCATGTTCCCTAGGTAATGGAATGCAATAGGTTCACAGGCAGTTTCTTTGTCTGTCTTTGATATATTTTTGAAGGAATACTGTGAAATGATTCTCAAGTTGTCCTAAAACTTGCTTGGTTTGTTAATAAACAGTGCTCAAGTGTAATGAGCAATACAATTGGACAACAGTCAAGCTATTGTTTGTAATGTGTAATTAGCAAATGCCGAGCCAACAGTGAGTTCATAATTTACTAGTATGCTTTAATAAATGAATTTCTCCATTGTTCTTGTCACTGAACTTTGTAGTATTCATCCTGAAACCCACAGGACCTTTTTATTCCTTCAGGTGTGAGCTTCAGATTATTGTTGGGACAGCAGAGGGCATCACATCATGTCTGATCATCTCGCCTGGCATTTGCAGGTGTGGTAGTGGTCAAACACGAGAATCATAGCGTTCCCTGTTTACAAAGGACAGTTGTAGAACAAAACTGTGATTTAAGCACAAGCATTAAGGTATTTGACCAGCTATTGCCGCCTTTACAAAACTTTCACAGCACAGAACAAGGCCTTCTGGCATGTTGGGTCTATGTTGGCTCTTCAGGTGAGCAATTCACTCAGTGCCATTCCTTCAGATTTTCTCTGTAATCCTATGTGTTCTTCCTTTTCAAGATAATAGTCCAGTTCTTTCTTGAAAACCTCAATTCAACTGGCCTCCATCACATTCTCGGTGCATTCTGCATCTTAATCACTTACTGCTTGAAAATATTTCTCCTCGTGTCTACATTTCTGCTTTCATCAACTACCTGAAACCTGTGCTGTCTTAGCTTTCCACCAGTGGGAACAGTTTTTCCCTATCCATTCAGTCCAGACCCCTCATTGTTTTGAATTGCTCCATGAAATCTCCTTTTATCCATCTCCAAAGTAAATAGTCTCAACATCTCCATCCTATCTCTCGTAGCTAGTTTGGGGGCTTGTTTCGTTTTGTACCCTCCAGCCCAGAATCCCATCTGGAGGAATGCAGAAAGTGGAAAACCCTGGGCACAATGTTTGTTTGGGCTTTGCCCTGGCTAAGTGGATCATTGAAGATCTGGAAGATTCTATTTTTGATTTCTGATCTGGGGTGGGAGCCCACTGTTGGGATGGAGGTAGCTTCTTCAGGATTCCTCGAGGCAGAACTGCGTTGTCTCCTGAGCTGTTATCTGATGGCATCTCCTAAATTTACACATGCAGACATTGCCTGTCAGGCAAAGTATCATAAGTCTACTGGTTCCCTTGAGACCATGTGTCTGCTGCCTCCAGAGGAGGGAGGAAGTGGGTGAAGAAAACTGAGTTCCAAACAAAATTGCAGTTGCTGATTTGATATTTCACTTTGAGAGATCTAGCAAATGTCCTTTCGGTGAGAAGACTTCAAATGTGATTTGCATTGAACCCTACTAAATACAAAAGTAGAAATATGGCTCATAATTGACAAGATTTGCAGCTGAGACATACGTTTTTGTGCTTCTCTGCAGTGTATTCTTAAATGCCGTGTTAAAGTACATGTTTTTCCAAGTTGCTTGCTAAACTACAAGTGGGCATTTTTTGATGTCTTGTATTTAAAAAAAAATCCCTGTTATCCGTGAAAAGCACCAGATGGAATGGATATCGCTGAATATTTTTGAGGATATGTTTATCAGCATTGTGGAAGATTCAATGTGTTAGCGTTTTCATGCTGTAGAATGGAGGTGGGAGGTGGCTGAGAATTAAAATACATATGCATAGATTGCCTTAAAACACTGACTAAATAAGTTATTTTGGTGTATTTTTTTAAACTGGTCACCTGTTGCTTCAGTTTTGTTTCACTTGCAGTTTTTACTTTTTTTTTCTCTCAACCTTACTATAAATATTTTGCATATTTCTGTCATTTTCAGGTTTGGTTATGCAGATAATTCTTTGCGGTACAGATTTATTTTCTCCTGCATTAATTTTCTGAGCAGTTTTCTTTCCCATACTGTTCTTTTCTAAAGACCTGGTTACAGTTTGGGAAACTGTTGAACCATAGGAGCTTGGATATGAGTTGGCTTTCACATGACATTCTTGCATGTGAATTTGCTCCA